GGCACTAGGAAAGGAGGACAAAGTTGACAGAAGCATTGACTGACTTCTCTAGAGCTGGGTTGTTTTCCAGATGCCCTCGAATGGCCTTGCGCATCATAGTGTTTTTGCCCATCAGCACCACAGCCTTCCCCCGGAGGGACATTCGGATCTGCTGCATCTGCTTGGAGCCCACATTGTCTGCTCCCACAATGAAGCATTTTGGATAGTCATCCAAAAGTTGCTACAGAAACAAGCAAAGTTTAGCAGGAGGAAGGCGGAAAAAATGTCAGCAGAAACTAAACCCCATAATCACTCATTTCCATCTTCTTTTCTTCCAACCTTTTGAAGTCCCTCTATATTGGGCCAGTCTTACCCACCAGATCCTCCTGAATTATAACACTATCATATTTGATCCTGATTTGCTTGCTATGTATACTAAAAACTAGCTTTCTATGTTTAATCAAAGCTTTTTAAATGTACATTTAGTGGGGCTGGGGTTGTGGCTCAGTGGCAGAGTGCTTGCCTGCCATGTGTGAGGCACTGGGTTCAATCCTGAGCACCACATAAAATTAAATAAGAATAAAATAAAGGTATTGTGTCCATCTACAGCTAAAAAAAAAAAAAATTAAAAAAAATAAATATACATTTAGTTTCCATTGTTCTCTTTTTCCAATTGTGAAATGTTTCTGATTCATCAAAATGGCTGCATTAACAGAAAACTGTTCCCAATAAGTTGATCATCTGATGACACGGACTTTAGGCAATCAAAACATAAAGCAAACACTGCAAAACACCACTTGTAGAATGTACATTGTGTACTTACAGATTCAAGTTTTTTGTTTGAAAATCTTCATGACAGAAGTACAACACTAAAATACAGACTAAGCTCTACAATGTGGCCTAGTTCCTAAAGAGCAACAGAGTTTCAGACTAAGGAAGCCCCACCTCAAAAGCCATTCAAAATAAGTCATTGGACACTGAATTTCTTGACCGACAGGTCCTAAATGTGTAATAACATGGCTCTTTACAATGAGTCACTCCTTGTCTCAGATCTCCCCAAAAAGGTAGGCAAGGGAACAAAGTATGACGTTAGCTAAGATAAACTATTTGACTTGCCTGAGCCTTTTCATCAACAAAGCACGCTGGGGGGGGGGGGGGGTCATCAGGGGAAATTAAGACTATAGGAGATATGCCCCAAATTGCCTAATTCAGTAGCTGTCACCAAGAAACAGCACCTGGCAAGTGACTGTCCCTATTAGCGCCCAGGAACACATGATGGTTGGCCACAGCCCACTCCGCACTTACGATGATCTTAAGGAAGTAGTTGGACTTCCAGGTCGCCCTGTCTTCCCTGGGCATCACGACGGTGCGTCAGGGATTGCCACGCAGGGTTTAAAGACGATGTCACTGAAGGGAGAAAGGGAGCTCAGACCCCGCCACCCCGACACCTGTCCTTTGGTCTGAGGCCTTTGTGGTGCTAACCACGCGCCAGCGCCCGTCGGGCCTGGACCAGCAGCCGCCATCAGCTGTGGAGCGCGATCCGCCGCCGAGGTCCCAGGCGGGACTGGTCGGGGTCCCATAGTCCCCAAACAGCGCTCCACCACATACATACACACACGCGCGCGCGCACAGACACTCCGATCACCCAAAGATCCCAGGCTTCCTGCCACCAGCCCACCGCATGGAACAGGCGGCAGCACAAACCTCTCACGAGGACGCCTGGCGAGAAAAGGGCCGCGCGCCAGCGCGTGTCTTTTATATGTTAATGAAGGAGCCAATCAGAAGCCGAGGACAGCACCCCTGCGTATTGGCTGATGCTGGCGCTCAATCGGACGAGCCGAACTAATGTAGGCAACCATTGGATGACATCGCTGCCACTCTGGCCAACCGGAAGCCACCTTTAAGCAGGGTAGTTAAGGAAGACGCTACCTTGTGTTGGAAGAGCTCTCTCTTTTTCAGAGCCTCTGCCCCCTGCTGGGGTGGAGTTACGTTTGAATAGGAGCTACATTGTGTGAATTAAGACTCGGTGTGTCCCATTGCCACTTGACCAACTCGGCAAACTGTAGGGTATGACGACGAGTTAAGAAATAAATCGCAACTACCTTAGAAACAAAATGGTTTGTTGCCTCCTATTCCACCAAAACAGGGATCCTTTAAAACCTAAGTCCTTATCTGCTCAAACTCGTCAAATCCTCCACACTTAACTCAGAGTAAAAGCCTAAAATTTACCCAATCTTCACCCCATAATCTCATCTGTCTTCCCACTGATTCTTTCACCATCATCTCATGTATTTTCCCACTGACTTTCACTTCTAACTAGACCATTCTCAATTTGCTGCTTTTCCAAAGCACTCCTGACTTTTGTTAGGGCTATTTGCATGGCTCTTTCCTCTATCTGGACCACTCCTAGCCCAAAGAATTCACCTACACCAAGTCTTGAGGCTAACATCACCTGCTGAATGTGGCATACACTGACTTTGGTATTTAAAATTACAAAAAAAAAAAAAAAAAAAAAAAAACTCACTCCTACTCTCCCTCACTCTGCCCCCTCCCCCATACACTTACATCTTCTCACTCATTATATAATTTATTTCATTATTTTTTGTCTGCCTCTTCCTGCAGGAATTCCAACTCCACAAGTGAACAGACTTATGTCCTGTGCGTGGTGTAGTAGACATATAGTAAGTTTTTGCTGAATGAATGAATGCAGGACTTGCAGCTAGATGATTCTGCCACTTACTAGCTGTGATGTCATCTTAAAAAGTGATTACACCTTGCAGACCCTGTTCCCCCCACCCTTCCCCACCCCTGGTACCAGGGATTGAACCCAGTGAGCCACATCCCCAGCCTCTGCCCCATTTATTTATTTATTTATTTATTTTGGTATTGGGGATTGAACTCAGGGGCACTCGACCACTGAGCCACATCCCCAGCCCTATTTTGTATTTTGAGACAGGGTCTCACTGAGAACCTTCTTAGCACCTTCTAAATTGCTGGGGCTGGCTTTCAACTCACGATTCTCCAGCCTCAGCCTCCCAAACCACTGGGATTACAGGCTTGTGCCACCATGCCCAGCCCCCAGTCCCTTTTTAATATTATATTAGAGACAGGATCTCACTGAGTTGCTTTAGGACCTCACTGAGTTGCTGAGACTTGGACTGGCGATCCTCCTGCTTCAGTCTCCCAAGCCACTGGGATTATAGATGTTCACCCCTGCACCCCGCCTATTTCCCATTCTTTAACTGTAAAACAGGGATAATAATTATACCCACATTCTAGCATTGTTATGAGGATTAATTATATGTTAAGACAACATATTTCCTGGGATAGAAGAAAGTCAATAAATGTTAGCTTATAATTACATTGAACAGTTATTTCAATAATTGTATTATTTGAATAATTGTACAATAAAAATTTGGGGATGTTTCACCCTATCTTCACCCTCTTCACTTGACCAATTTAGATATTTCCAATGAGTTTACTGGACCATATATGACCAACAAACAGTTGGCTATAACTGTATACAGTCCCAAGTTCTGTGTCTAGAAATTTTCCCCCAGCAAGGCTGGTCTAAAGGTGAAGTTCTGACATGCCTATCTTGCATCTAATTTTATTATGGTGCCTCCTTGGATAGTTATTCATGAAGCCATCTTTTTGCATCACAGTTAACGGGAACTATTCCCAGACCTGACCAAATCCATCTACAGGAGTGGGATCCATGAATGTGTATTTTAATTTTTTGTATATGTGGTGGTGCTGGGGATTGAACCCAAGATCTCAAAATATGCTAGACAAGTGCTCTACCACTGAGCCATACCTTCAACCCTTGTATTTTGTTTTTAAGTTTCCTAATGCTTCTCATGATCAGCCCAATTTGAGAACGTCTAGATTACTGCTAAGATTTCTTTTTAATGACAATGTATTTCTGCACACTCAGCATTGTGTTAAATACTTTATGCACAGTCCTAATAGTAAATCTTTACAACAATCCTCTGAGGAGGTAAAATATTAGTATTCCCATTTTATTCATCAGAAAACTCAACAGAGACATAAATAATTTGCCCAGCCAATAAATGGTGGTTTCAGAACTGAAATCCAGGACAAGTTCAAAGCCCATGGGCCTCAATATGCTATACAGTCCCTTCCAAACCCTGAGTCAGTACCCTCTAAGTGCACTTTTCCAACATACATACTCTCATGGTAAATTTCCAAGGACATCCTGTCTCTGACAATATATCTAATTGCAGCACTTCAATATAATGATACCATGAAGACATTAAAAAGTGATGCAGATCTATATTCACTGACATGGAAAATTATCCACAAAGCAATTTTGAGTGAAAAAGCAAATTACAATGAGATGTGCCACAGCTATTCCTATAAACAGAATGACCCCAAGATGGTCTAGAAGAATAAGTTATTATCTTTGGGTGGGGGTTGAAGGTAATGTTCACTTCCGAGGTCACTGTGAAACGACCAGGTTTTAGGCTTGAATTCAACACACTGCTTCTGGAGGACTGTTTCAAATGACAGGGAAACTGAGGCCACAGCTCAAGGTGGAATAATGCCATCCAGACAGCTTGGCTACCTTGGATCTGGCAAGTGCATAGAGGAGGCATGCAAATATGGACATGACCACAGGGAGGCAGTAGAGAGCCACCTGCAACTGTACGTCAGGGGCATTCTGCCAGGAAGGGGCCGCAGCCAAGGTGTTGGGCGTCTGGCTCCACAGAAACACAGGCAGGGGCAAGTCCTGGGCTCCCATCATGGCTCTGTGGGCCCTGGGGATTGCCTTGTACATGTCAAGATCCTCTCCAACCTCTTTCCACATCTAAATGAGTGGAAAGACACCCACAGGTCCTCAGGGATACCCTCAGCGGATCCATGGGACAGCAGCACATAGTAGAGCTTCCAAGGAAAGAACACTAATGATTTTCCCTCCCTCTGAGTTTGGGGAGAGTTCAGTTTCTCTTCTGGGACCACTTGGTTGTCAGATCACCAAGAAATGGCACTAGCACAGGTGAAAATAATGGCACACTTTATTGGCATAAATCACAGGAATTGAAATGGAAAAGGCCAGGTTAGAAGTTTATAGAGGAAAAAAAAATCAAATGATCAAATAACCATTGACCCAGAGAGTTGACTCCCAGAAACCCCAGTCCCTCTTGGGGAGGGACCTGGAGTGGGTCATTGTAAACAGAGCAGTAAGGCCTGTGGTGGGCGTGGAGATGTCAGACCTTTGGAGGACCTCCCAGACCTAGGCAGCTCCCAGGCCAGCCCCAAGGAAAAGATCCTCTTCTGGGACCGCAGCATACTCAGCCTGTGCTGGGAGGCCTGTGGACAGGTCTGAATCCCTCCCAGTAGACCACTCTGGAGTCCCTTTCCCTTGACCAGGAACCCCAGGCCTGCCTGTTCCTGCTTTATCCTGGGAAAGAGCTCTGGGGCTTCCTGTCGCTTCAGCAGGACCCTGTCCCTCTGCCCCAAATCCTCTCGGGCTCCCTTGCACCAACCTGGGGCCTTCTCCCCAAATTGAAGTGCCAATCCCCCCTGTAAAGGGGGAGGAACCTGTGCCAGTCTCCAGGGAGGGCAGGAAATTTGAGGAAGGAATATGCCCAGTGGAATCAACAAGACCAAAGAGACATTTATGGTCTTCATGGTCAAAATCAGAAACCAATTTTTCCTGAGAAGACAGGAGAAGCCCCAGAGAAGTAGTGAGGAGGCCGAGAATGTTCAGTGGGTTCTTTGTTGCAAAAAAGCTCCTACTCAGACAGGAAGCAGCCCCCCAAGTATACTTTCCCCTTCTCCTCCCTTAGGAACAGGACAGATGAGGTTCAGAATTCCAGGTCCCAAAGGGTCAGACACACTCAGGCCAGTTTGAATTAAGAGCTGCTGGCCTGGGCAGAAAGGAAGGGGTTTCAAAATACAGCAGTTTATAAAACAGTCCTGGTGAACCATGAAGTTACAGAAGAAGAGTCACAGAGCTGCTCCCAGTTCACCTGCTTACGCTAAGAAAAAAATAAAATACAAATTGCTCCCCGACCCGGTACAAAGCAAACTCCAAGCCAAAGCCATGGTCACTGACAGGACCAGCAGCAGTGGATGAGGAGGAGGAGAATATAAAAGGGAACATCTTTAAAATCTCTTCAAAATCATCTTGTATCGAGAAATAAAAGCAACTTGGGTGACATAATTCAAACCTCAGTGTAGAAATCTATCAAAGTCGGTACAGTGTCCAGGCCCAGACGACACTCCCCACGGGTACTGTCCCAGGAGATGGAGGAAGTGGCTATAAAACATTATTGCTGGAGAGGCCTTTCTCAGTAGAACCAGAGCAGTTATAAAAGGGGCAGTTGGGAAAGGGGACAGTCACCCAGGCCTGGGAGACTGGAAGGCGAGAGCCCAAGAAACCTGCAGTCCCTTGAGCACTTCCACCCTTGGATGGATGGGTTTATGCTGGCATTGTTTGGAGGGAGCAGGGAACCCCCCAATTCTCTTAGGACAGTTAGACTGTGGTTTGAGGGGATAAGGATAAAAAGAGACTCCATCTAACCCTGCCGGCCCTTCCCTCCCAAGCTCCGCTGCTGAAATACGAGTACAAGATGGCTCCAGTGTGGGTTGCTGGCCGGGCCGGGCAGGTTCATGGGGACACATGTCGGGTGGGATGGAGCCCCCAGCCTCCACCTCCAGGAGGATGAGGAGTGGGCAGCCTGGGGAGAGCTGTAGGAAGAGGAGGGAGGCCCAAGGCTTTGGTGGGGATTGGAGAAGCACGCAGGACCCCCATGCCCCTTGTCCCATCCTGTGCCAGCTGAGGATGAGGGTTCCAGTTTCCACGTCTCTGGGTCACAGTAGCAGTCAGGGCGGCGGGGCTGGGGAAGGGACGCCTAGCAGAAGAGCTTGAGGAAGCAGTTCTGGCAGTAAGGCTTGTCGTTTTGCTCCTTGAAGGTGCCCTTGTTCAGCTGCTTGAGGCAGAAGGCACAGACAAAGTGCTCCGGGTGGAATTTCTTGGCCATGGCGGTGATGCAGCGGCCCGTGATGGGCTTCTGGCAACCAGAGCACAGCGAGCCGCGCCGTTCATGGTAGTGCACCTCACAGTATGGCTGCCCATCATGCTCGAAGAAGCTGCCGTTGATGAAAGGTGTGAAGCATTCCTGCCAGACAGAGAGGGGGCACACTGGAGGACAGGGGCTCAGGGGCTGGCCCTTCTGGCTGGGCCAGCTCCTGGCGTCATGCACAAGGACAGTCCAGGTCATCACACTCACACTGACCCACCTGCCCAACATTTCCTATGTGCAGAGTGCCGGGCTACATGCTTGCAGTTAAGGGACCAGCCCAAAGTCGTGCAGCTACTAAGGTCATACCCTGCATTCAAACAAGGTTGGATTCCTGGGTACCTAAGCAGGGGCTGTGACTGTGGGGCCAGAAACTCTGGTGCTGAAAAATGGGATCTGTTCTTGGACTCTGCATCCTAGGTCACTATTTGGATTCACATGTGCATTTAGAAGTTTCCCAAACTTATTTGATCAGAGAACCCTTGCTGGACCCCCAGCTGCCTCTTCCACCCCCTCCAGATGCTTTGAAGGCTCCTTACCCGGCATACAAAGCACTCAGGATGCCAAAGGGTGTTGAGGGCTGAGATGTAGTTCTCCAGGATGGCCCGGGCACAGCCACCACACTTGGGCGCAAACATGTCGAAATAATCCTTTCGGCAATAGGCCTTGCCATCCTTCTCATGGAACCCTGAGGAACAAGGGATTTGGAGCAAGTTTAGGGCCTTCAGAAATGGAGTTATCCTTACCCCAACCTCAGCAGAGTCTCCTAGCCCTCCCCCGACCCTCCGAGGGGGCAGTGGGTTAGTCTTCCAGTCCCTGCCGTACCTTCAGGACCAAAGAAGGCTCCACATTGGGCACAAAAGAAGTGCTCAGGATGCCAAGTCCGGTCAAGGGCCGTCACCACTTTCTGGAAAGCAAACAGTGGGAATCAAAGTTCAGCTGCCAGCCAGGTGAGGTGGCACCTGCCTGTCATCCTGGCACCTCAGGAAGCTGAGGTAGGAAGATCGCAAGTTCAAAGCCAGCCTCAGCAACAGGGAGGCACTAAGCAACTCAGTGAGACCCTGTCTCTAAATAAAATACAAAATAGGGCTGGGGGGTGGCTCAGTGGTCAAGGGCCCCTGAGTTCAATCTCTGGTCCAAAAAAACAAAAAGAAATCTCAGCTGCCACTCACAACTAAGACTTACGTACCACTGTCCTTCCCACCTTGTTCCCAGCTCATAGCCAATGACAGTAAAATGCTCCCAACAAGGTCTCTCCTACTTATACTCAAAAACTCAATCTAAGAGTTCAGATTTATTAAAAGATGTGACATGCCAAACCCTCTCTCCTTTAATCCTCACAAAGGACTGAGATCATAGGTTCACTGACTCCTATTTTATAAGTAAAGAGACTTAGGCTCAGAGAGGCGAGGCATTTCCCTAACATCACACAGCAGGAAGAGTGAGACGGCTGCCGTTCAGCTTCATTTGTTGGTCAGGGCTCCTAATTCCTGGGAGTCTTGGCAGAAGGAATTCTGGACAGAAGTGGAGGGGAGCTGGAGCTACCTAATATGCATCAGGATGACCTGTGGATCAAGCCTGGGTTTGAATCTCAGTTCCACCATTTCTCTGAGCCCGCACCCTCTGAGGGCTATGGCAAAGATGAAATGAGCTGATGCGGGCATCGTGCCCAGATAAGGGAAAATCCTGGCTGCCACCCCCGCCCCCTCGTCCCACCACTGTGCCACCAGCATAAGCTCACATCCAGGATGGGACCGTTGCAGTAGTAGCAGCGTGGGGAGAAGAGGTTGTGATAGTCCTTTTCACAGTAGGGCTGTCCATCCCGCTCGAAGAAGTTCCGGGATCCGATCTCTTCCTGGCAGTGGGTGCAGACAAAGTGTTCAGGGTGCCAAGTCTTCCCCATGGCAGTCACAACCTGAGGAGGACGATGGAAGGTGGCTCAGGGAGAGGAGAGGAGAGGAGCGGAGCACAGAGCTCTGTGCCCACCTCCCCACTCATCACCTGCCCGGCGATGGGCTTCTTGCAGGCCCCGCAGACTCCTTTGGCAACCGTGGCAACCCCCAACTTGTTCAGGTCAGACTGCAGGCTCCCCAGCATGCTGTCCAGCTGGCTCCCAGGCTTTGGGGGTCCCCCAGGGGGTGAGCTGCTCCCAGTCTTCCCCTGAGCCATGAACTGTGGAGAGAGAGGGGGAGGGGGGCTGGTCAGGACATCTGTGGTACGGGGTCAGCAGGGCATCTTGAAGCACTGCAGCCCGGGGGCCGCTCTCCCTCCTGTACAGGTAGTACCAGTAAGGCAGGGGCCTGGGGAGCCCTGAATGTGGGAGTGACATCCGCAGGCCATCCTGGTGGATGGGGGCTCCCACAGGGACAAAAGAAAGGGCTTGCAGCACCCTGCTGCACCCAGGGAAACACCACAAACAGGAGCTCAGCCCCCGGCCCTGGCACTGACCCCTCCCTCGTCCTGCCCTTCAGGGCTGCTCTGCCTGCCCCCTGGAGGCCAGCTGGAGTGCCACTCTCCATCCGCTCTTTGTTCCAGGCTGTGCATCTTAGATAGGGGAGGAAAAGAGAAGAAACTTTTCTTTAAAAAAACTAAATAAGAGACCTTGTCATCAGGCTCTTTCACACAGGGAATTCAGGATGAGCTACGAGGACCTTTCCCTACTGGCAATACCAAAATCAGGAGACAGAAATCTAGAGAAACCCAGAGAGGAAGGCCCAGGAGAGGGAGGCAAGCCACCCAAAGGCATGGGACGAGAAAGGGAAGTGATTAGGGCCAGAGAGCAAAGAGGCCTCACCAGGTACTGGGCCTATGGACCGGAAGGGGAAGAGATGGGCTTTGGGTTCCACTCTGGAATGAATTCCTCTGTGTCAATACCCGGAGGAAGAAGGGAGGGGCGGGCAGAAGGGAAGCCTCACAGGAAAGCAAGAAGTCAGTTGATTTCCTGAGAGGTGTGGCCAGGGTCAAGGTCTAGGGAAGGACTGTGGTGGTTCATGTGCTGGGGCTGTGGATGGAGGGAAACCCCTGTGTGTGTGTGTGTGTGTGTGTGCGCGCGCGCTTGTGCGTGGCATTTGCCCACATGCAGAGTGGGGGGGTGGCGCAGGCACTAGGACAGGGAATGAGCAAGGTCAGTGCTGGGGCCCCTGGGAGGCCTGCCTGCATCGGGGAGAAGAGCGGGTCCTCTTCGGTCTGACAGCCCACGGACCTCACAGTATGGGCTACGCGAGTGGGAGAGGTGGCGCCCTGCCCATCCTCATCACGGGGTGCTTCCCCCGCACTTTGGACCCCAGGAGAACCATGGGTACAAGCTGAGGGCCCCAGAGGGGAGGAAGAGGATAGGGGAGAAGAGCTGCTGGCCGAGGCGTCCTGGAGATGCTGTGGCAAAGGGACAGAAGGAGGAGCCAGAACAGAGATGGTTCTTCTGAGGGGAATGGGAGAATCGGGAGGGAAGACAACCTGGGAAGAGGAAAGGGGGAGAGAGATGAGGGAGACAGAAAAAATCATCAGCCCAGGGAGCAGTGGGACTGGGGAAGTGAGGTCCCAGATCCCCCCATGCCTTCCCACTCTGGCACCAAAAGTGAGGCCAGCCTCCCAACAAGGCCACAGGATGTAAGTAACCACCCCACCACCCCTAAATCCCTCCTCTGGCCAAGGAGAACCAAGGTAGCATCTGGACACCTGCTGCCCAGGCCCCGACCTGCCCAGCATCTCCTGGCTACCTTCTCTACCAGCTGCCCCCCAGCCCGCCTCCCGCGTGGCTGCACAGTGATGACGACACCCTCAGTCAGCCAGTCCTGCGCGGAGCGCCCTGGTGGCCCCGCGACCTCCTCCACCTCCGGCTGGATGCCCAGTCGGCCCTGCAGCTCTGCGATTAGCTGCTCCTGAGATGGGGTCCTGCTCAGGATGGCGGGGTCCAGCCGGCGGCGAGGAGAGGGCTCCCGGGACATGGGGTGCGCGTGGCCAGTCTCCCGGCTCCTCCTGATCACAGAGCGGATCTGGGGGTGGAGGGGGAAGCTGTCACTCTCTTTCCAACTCTGAGCTGGCATGATGCCACTCAGTCCACCACACTCAGGAGTCCCAAGGGAAGGGAGGGCAGAACACAATGGCCAGAGAAAAGCCAGGCGGAGGGGGTGGCAGCAGGAGGCAGATGGGGTGGGCTCAGGAGTAGAGGCCCCAGGAGAACCTTCTGGCCCAGCATTTACCTCCAAGTGGGCCTCTGACTTTGGGTAAGACCCTTAACTTCCAGGGACCTCCGTCTCTCCATCTTTAAAATGGGGTAACAGTGTTTTCTTGGCTTCACTTACAGGTTATCAGAGAATTGAGAGGATGTAAGTGAACGCTCTTGACAGGCTTTAAGGCTTTTTCTTTTTGATTTACAATAGAAAAATGCAGGCTTTCCTTTTCAGTAAATCTCTTAATCAGTTTTCTTTTGTGCTTACTTTATTACTTACTTGTTTATAGTTTTTGTTTTGGGTTTTCTTTTGGGGGGGTGGCTCTTCTGTTGTTTTTTTTTTGGGGGAAAGGGCATACAGTTTTAATTAAGCAGGAATAAATAACAACTACAGTAACAGCAGCCATGGCTTGTAGAGGAATCATGTGCTACTTCTACACACTTTCCAAGAATTTTCTCATTCAATCCTCTGGATAACCTTGATGGAAAGCTGTCTTATTATTACCCCATCATAAAGATAAGAAAACAAGTCAGGCATGGTGGTGCATGCCTGCAATCCCAGCAACTAAGGAGGCTAAGACAGGAGGATCACAGGTTTAAGGCCAGCTTCAGAAACTGAGACCCTTTCTCAAAATAAAAATTAAAAAGGACTAGGGATATAGCTCAGTAGTAAAGTGCCTCTGGGTCCCATCCCCAGTACCACACATCCACAAAACGGGCAGGGGTTGAGAGAGGAAAAAAAACTGAGGCAGAGGGTGGCTGCCCAAGGTCATACAGGTAGCAACCATTGGCCACAATATGGTTTGCATTTAGGTCTACGTGGTTCTGAAGTCCAGCTTTCAACCATTCTGCACATCAGAATGTCAAGGGCAGCTCAACCAAAGGGAAAAGTCTTAAATAAGCAAGAAGTGGGTCCTCACTATGAGGAAAGTCAGGGTCCAGCAGGGCTCTGTTGGCCCCACATGACCCACTGCCAAGCACTGGTGGTCAGGGTCACAGGCCACAGCACCTCAGCATCTGCTGCCCAGGCAGACACATGTGGAGTAGCAGGCTGCATGCAGTTAGCAAGGAGTGGCCCACACTCAGACCTGCCGAGGGCCATGCCTAAGTAGCTGCGCAAGCCAGTGCCTGCCTGGCCAGAGGTAGAAATCCTCTCCGTAGTGTTGGCTATGCCCGTGACCATGGCATGCGGAAGCTCCAGCTGTTCCTTCCTGGCCTTGGCAGCAGCTTCAGTGGTGCCCTCAGGGCTCCTTGGGGTCTCAGGGTCCTGGGTTGGCTCCCTCAGGGTTCCCCTGTGGGGCATCTCTCCATTTAACTGCTCCTTGTGAACCAGGGCAGAGCAGCTGCTTCCCAGCACCCTTGGCTCTGGCCTGGATCTCCCCTTCTGCTGGCCATAGTCCTCTGTGAGAGTCCAGGTATCTGGGAAGACGGCCTGACGGTCCACGGCCACCACAGGTGGCTCCTGAGAGTCGCAAGCAGCTCCACGGGGAGCTTCAGTCCTGGATACCTCCAAAGCCCATGGCCATTCCCAAGTGGCAATCTCAGCTGCCTCTGAACACAAAATGTTAGCCGGTGGCCCCTGGGGACCTCCAGGCTCCTGGGACGCTGTGCTCCCAATAGGGGATGGAGTATGGCAGAGGGGAGCCCTAGAAGGCTCACTCATAGGGTTCAGCAGGTCCTTCCCAATTCCATCCTGGCTCTCTGCACCAAATGACCCTGGGCGACCCTCCACAGAGGGAGAGCTTGAGTTGCAGGTGTCACGTGTCACCCTGAAGCCAGCCAAGTCAAGCCAGCTGGGGGCCACGGGAGGTGGAAGACCCTGTCTATTTTCTTCAGTGAAGAGAACTTCTGGGGTGTGGTGTTGGCCTTGAAGGGCGGGTTTAGAGGTGGATGGCAGGAGTACAGAAGGCAGGGGAGGAGAAGGAGGAGGAGCGGTGTGGAGTGGGGATGGAGCTGGGCAGGGCAGCCCCAGGGAGCGCAGGGCCACAGCAGAGGAAGTAGTCTGGAGGAGAGAGACAGGAGAGGGGAGAAAAGAAAGAGCAAGCTGGGGTGAGGTGAGGAAGGACAGTTGCATCAAGGGTTGGGTTGGACTTAGGGCTCAGAGACCCCCCATCTACACTGACCCAGGTGCAAAGGTGAAGCACAGGGGTGACTCTTGAAGACTCAGACCCCCCAAAAAGACTTTCCTGGGCTTCATATCCTGCTTGGCCTTCAAGAAACCCAGGCCAGCAGAAAGCAGCCTTGATGCCATACCCACAGGGCCACCCATAGTGGGTAAGATGAGGTGGATCACAAGGAGACAGGTGGCCAAGGAGATCAGCCTCAGGCACAAACCAAGGCAGGGTCAGCCTCTGGCAGCCTGCTCAGTCCTCCTCAGATGGTGGCTCAACTCTTAGCCCTATCCTTCCTAGACAATTCCAGCTTGCCTAACGTCCCCAAGTCCTTGTACTAAGAGCACCACCGAGCACCAGCTGCTGAGCTTCTCTTCACCGGGCCTAGGGACACAGACCATCTCAGAAAGCAGTGACAGCCTTAAGGGCACTGGGGCAGGGCTCCCTCAGGCCAGTGCCTGAACCCAGCTTACTGCCCCTCGCTGACTGCTCAGAACCATGGCACCCAAGACTCACAAGGCCAGGTGCAACCATCAGCCCAGTGTACTCCCATCCTCCAGGGTAAGCCCCCAGACAAAGGACGGAGGAGGTAACATCAGGCCAGGAATGCACTGACCCTTCCCATACCTGCTACACCCAGCCCCCAAGGTCTCCAGCTGACCTATGTGGAAGCAAAGTCAGCAGTTACTGGAGAGTTCTGTCAATATCAATCCCCATCAAGGCACTGCATCCTCTAAATAAAACATCACGGGCTTGCAGGATGGGGAGGCCCAGGAGAGGGGCAGGGCCAAGTCCTGCAGGACCAGCCCAGCCTGGCAGGTTAGGTTTCCCACATGCAGGATTCGTGGGAACTCTGAGGCCCAGTGGCCTGGCCCTGGAGGGACAGGGAAGGGTGGAAGGAGGCTGGCAAGGGAGGCCTGTGAATTCAATTGCCAGAGGCAGAAAGAAAGAGGATGTGTTGAGGACAACTAGCGTGGGAGATGAGGCTCCACGGCAAGTGACCTCTCAGGCATGGGATCCTGAGTCCCACATGGCCCAGCAGAACACACCCTCCCCCACTGAGAGCAGCCATCAACACAGGGCCCTTTGTCCCAGTGTCCTGGCCTCCTGATCCCTCAACCTGGGTGGCTGAGAGTACCCAAGGAGGAAGGAATGTCCCAGCCGAGTGCCTCTCTGCTGCTTTGCAGCTCAGTCCCACAGACTGTCTCGCTTCCCTTCCCCAAATCCTGCTGCTCTGGCAAGGCCAGAATATTTTGGAGTCCCTGACTCAGGGACAAGGCACCCAAACACTGAGGGACCAAGGTCCAGCTGCTCACACTGAGGTAAAGGAAGAGAAGGACGGAAAGCATGGAAGACAGAGGGGCTACAGGGCACCTTAAAATCTGACAGCGAGGCCATCAGCTCGTCCAGCTCCCTGGTGGCAGAGGAGGCCGAGATGCGCGTCTGCTGCTGGCTGGAGGTGACTCTCTGTGGGCTGCTCATCTCGCCCTGGTTCACAGTGATGGCCGGGCTGCAGGGCAGGCATGGTGTCAGTGGGGAGCCCAGAGGCCAGCCCCAAGCTTCACAGGGAACTGTGTCAACACCTCGGCTCTGACTCTGGAGTCCCAAAACCTCAAGCTCAGGGAAAGAGCACCAGTGCCCAGTCTTTCCTGGGGACCCACCACGGGGAGAGGGCTGTCGGCTAGGGGACAGCACTGAGGTGAGCTGACTTGGGAGAAGACAGAGTTCGTACACAGATGTGAGAGTACGATAGCCTAACACTAATAAGAGTTAATGTTATTAAGGACTTGTCACAAATATTACACACTATGAGCCAGAAACCATTCCACGGACTTTATGTGTATTATTGGTCTCAGCTCTGCTGACATAGGTAGTCTTATAGTCTTAGCCCCATTAACCCACAACCACTTATCCCATTTTACAGACGGGGAAACTAAGGCTTGAGAGCTAACACACAGTAACTGGCAGAATCACGACTTAAACCCTGTCGACAACTCTGAAGTCTGTGCTAACAGTCACTAAATTGTAGGTGGCCTCTGTGTGCACAATGTCTGCCTTTTCTGATGGACAGTGGCCAGCTGAAGATAGAAATGATGTCCACACGACTCACCACTGTACTCTCAGGGTCTGGCAAACAACAGGCACTTAAGGGGATGGGTGACACCAGGGCTAAACAACACAACACGGAGCCCAGGGCCAGGCTGAGCAAGATCTGCCCCAGCGTGGGGACAGTCCAGTGGATACTCACACAGGGCTGGGCACAGAGCTCTCCAGTTCATCCAAGAGACTCTCCACACTAGGCCGAACGTCCTCCAGGCCCCGGCCCCCGTTCCGCTTGGGCTTCTCTTTTGTCAGGGGCCCAGCCTTGACTCCCACGGGACTGTTGTTCTCTGGGATGCCATAGTGAGGGCTCAGGGCCCCCGGGAGTGGAGGGCTTGTGTTGGTCTCCTCTTAGAGAGAAGGAAAGAAAAAGGCCGCTTATCCCTTGAGCCCTCTGAGGATCCAGAGGCAGCAGACGGGCCTGGGGAACCAATCCTACCTGCAGGGAAGCCTGGAGAATTATGCTGCACAGCATTCAGTTCTAGCAGCAGACGGTCAAGTTCAGAAAGGTTGCTGCCCAGGGAGGAGCTCATTACGGTGGGTGAAGGCTCGGCTGACTTCTGCTTGTTGGGGAAGCTTTGAGAGCAAAGGGAAGAAGACAGTGAGCGCTGCTCCGCGGCCGGGCACTGGCACTCCCTGGATTCTCAGGAGCACAGAGTGGAGGGGAAACAAAGCAAGACGACAGAGACTAGGGAAGGGATGTGGTAAGGAGGGAGGAGGAAGGAAGTCTTGCTTCAGTTCCTCTACCACAAGGGAACGCTGTGACAGCCCAGCCCATCCGCTACATGGAGATATTAGTGACAAGGTGGACAGGCCAATTAACAGGCATATGAACTGGCCAGGAGCCTTGGGGCCCTCTGTAGGTTAAACCAATAATGCTGGAGGCAGCACCCTCTGAGGACCAGTTGCCATGCCTGGTCCCCAGCCTCAGCTGCCTCCAGCCCAGGGCGGGAGGGGTTCCCAGAATTTCTGAGCAGGAAGAAGGGCGCCTGGGGGGGGATGAGGCTGTACCTGTAGACGTGCTCCTCCTCACTTGCTCGTGAGCACGGAGAACCAACACCGTCCTGGGGGTTGGAGGCACCGGAAGTTTTGGCACTGGAGCCGTACACAGGTGATGGGGATGGAGGCTACGAGAATAAAAGTGCTCAGAGAACTCTCCCAAGGGGAAGGAAAGAATGGGGGACAGGAGGAGCTCGAGTCACCCCCAGGTGGCTCCTGCTCACAGTCAGTCTCACCAGGGAATTTCCACACTCTGACTGGGACACTGGTGATTAATACTTGGTCACTGACCCCCTCACGTGGTGGATGGGATAAGCAGTGTCTGCCAGGGGACAGGCAAGTCCCCTGATCCATTCCTCTACTGGCTCCCCAAGCCTCTGATAGATAAGATCCTTTTGTCCCCAGGGCTTGGGGATTTCCCAGGTCCTGTCCCCACCTTACCTGCTGGTGAATGAGTCGGGAGCCACTGGACTGCCACTGGTCTAAGGGGTCAAGGATTGTGCCATTGAGGGCCTCGCTTGATGGGGGTGGAGGGACAGGGGGTGGCACTGCAATCTCCTGGTAGGTGTGGTTTCCAGTTGGGTAGGAGTAGGGGGGCTCCTCGGACAAAAACACAGGCCGCTTGGAGATGTGGGAGGTGGTGGACTCCAAGTCTGCCAGCAGGGCGTCTGCAGAGAGAAGGCACCAGGAGCAGGTGAGAATAAGGCCCCTGCCTGCCTACACCTCAAGAGTTAATGACTTCTGGGCATCGGCCCCACCCAGGGGAGAGATGACCAGCCTCAGGAGAGGAAGCTGCCAGCCCAAGAGCCTGGCCAAGAACAGGCTCCCAAAGCTGCCCTCTTCTCCCCAAGGCAAGACGGAAGGTGCTCTGGAGCTCACTCGGGGCTACTCCCTGGGGCTCTCCTACCTCTGGGTGTCGGGCACCTGGCTCTGCGTTCCTCCCCACAGGACTGTGCCGCTGGCTGGTGTGAGAAATGCCTTCCTGGAACTCTGACTCTGCAGAGCAACGCAGAGAATGGACAGGAGGGGCCCCACGTCATGGGGAGGGGCCCCTGCGCAGCGCCAGGCCCTCAGTGAACTTCCAAGAGCTTATACTTCCTAGCCCATGGGTGGGAGGGGACACTGAGCAGTACCTGCCCTCCTGATCTATAGAAGCAGAACCCCAAGTTCTAAGATCCTCCTGAGGCTCCAGGCTGTGGGGTAAGGTGTGTGGGGACACAGGGGCTGATACAAAGCCAGTGCAGTGGTCCCCACCTCCTGGTAAGCTGGGGGCAGGACTGCTCGGCTGGTTGTTTCTGCAGGAATCTGGCAAGCAGCCTGGCCCCAGAGGTTCCAGGGCCCCACTACTTTGCTTTTAACAGGAGGAGCCGAATCAGGCCTCGAGTGTTAGCGTCCATTCTCCCGTTCTCCCGGCACCTGGCAGCCGACAGGAGGGAAAGGTACAGCTGGAAGGGTGGGGGTGGGAACTGCTGACCTTCTCACCTTATCCCCCCACACACACACTCCTGGGACCCTGGACAGGCCCATAGTCTGGACAGGCCAGCTCCAGATGCCACACCCTCATTCCTGCCATGCTCCTGGACTTGCTCACCCTGAGCTCCATGGTGAACTGCTTGATTTCTGGCCCTCAGGATAATCGGTATCAAAAAAGCAATGGCTGCATTTTTTTTTTGCCATTTACTAACAACAGGCACAGGGCTGGCGTTTGCATACATGGTCCCAGTTAATCCTCCTAATAACCCAAAAGGTTGAAATTCTGATCTTCCCTATCCAGCTGAGGAAGGTGGGCTTGGGGAGGTGGAGGGATCTGCCCCAGCAACAAAGCCAGTACCTCAGGTAACAAAGCCTGTGACTCCGCAGAAGCCCCAAATCCAAATACCCAGCCTGCACTGCTGTGACCACAAAACGATGCCATGTTGTGGTATAACTTCCTGAATGTCAGGAGCCCAAGATTTGAAGGCTACCAGCCTGATCCTTCCTATCTGCTCTCATCTCTAGCCCCACTTCCCTGAAGAGAAGAGGGAAGTAAGGCCCTCACCCAGGTCTATGGCGCCACACCTTGTCCCAGCTGTCTGCTCTGGTCGCCCACCCACCATAAGCTGGCCACACCTACTCCACGCTCTTGTCCAGATGGTCAGAGGGGAAGCCTGTTCCAGAGTCCAAGAGCCTGGGTCCTGGTCGCCTACTTCAGAGGAAGACCAGTTCCCACTGCCCTCTCCCACTCCAGGCTCTTTGGGAGAGGTTCGGCTTTTGGTCTCCAGCAAACCAGAACTAGGAGTTGCTATGTATCTAGATAAGAGCAGAAAAGGAACCAGCAGCCTCTCCAGGACCACACTGCTGCCTTGGGTTCCCACTGTGTCCCCATTTCCTCCAGGCCCAACCTAGCAGGGACAGGGCCCCTTCTTCTTCATCATGGGCACAGCTGGGAAACCCCACTGTGGGCTCTCCAGAGCAGACAAGTGCAGCCCTAGGACGGTTGGCCGGAGCAGCCACAATCCTGAAAGCCCAGCAGGGCCAGGGCTTCATCTGTGTTACCTGCCTTCCTCCTCATAATGACACTGACACAGACAGCAAAACCAAGGTTCAGAGGCAGTCATGTCCCCCACTGCCAAAGCTAGCTGAGGTGACAACACTGGTCTTTGAACTCAGGTCTCTCGGGCTCCAGACACTCAATGGGAGACAAATGTTCTACCTTCCGTGGTCAACATCTGAATCCCAGTCTACTGCCCCTCACCAAAGCCCCACAGGATGACTGTAAGTCTGGCTTATTGGTTTATAGACTGGATTCTGGTTTAAGGTTTCAACAAAGATGCCTATGTTGGTCAGACTGTTGCTTGAAGGGTGCAGTCCTTGGGTACAGAGACAAGAGAACACTAGAGGGCCTGAACCAGACCTGAGTTCAAGTCCCAGCTCCTCCATCTACTATATTCATGCAGGGCTTCTCTAAGCCTCAGTCTCCTTGGTAAGCAGTGTCTGTATGAAGTTTATTGGGATAGTTAATGCTATAGTACATGGGCAGATCTTATTTGCTTTATGTAATCCAGAAAAAGATCTTCCTCCAAGAAGGGTAGGAGGCAAAGTACTGACTTATCCCCCCAAGTCTTTGCTGGGCAAGACATGAAAACACAACTCTGAGGAGAAAAATACAGTAATACACTAACATTCAAAATGTAGTACGTGTAGCTGTCAGGGAGAAGGTACACTGCCTTCCAGTTTTCTCCAAACCTGTGTCTGCCTGAGTGAGGAACCCCAGCAGGAACCTATGCAAGCCACAGGGTCTCTGGTGTGACTTCCTTCTCTTTCTCCACCTTAGTCCTCTCCTGTGACCTGGATAGGGCCTGGTGTCACTGTCTCCCAAAACCCACAAACCTCACAAACCGCTCAAGGAAGGGGTTCAGAAATACAGAAAGGGCCAAGGCATAGATTCTGAGGTTGACTTTGGATTCTGATGGCTGCAGATGCCCACTATTTCTCCACAGGCTGCAAAATGGTTAAGGGCCAAAGTCTCCTTGCCAGCTCAGTGAACTCCTCCCCTGGCTTGAGTAAACAGTCAGGCCAAGAGCACATAAAGGAATCCACTTGTAGGTAAACCCCATCCCAGGGGGTTCCCCCAAATTTGAGCTATAGCTACAACATTTTTTGCTGTTTTTTGTTTGTTTGTTTGCTGTTTTTTTCTTTTTCTTTTTCTTCTTTTTTTTTTTTTTTTTTTTGATACAGGGTTTCACTGTCACCCTAACTAGCTAAATGGCTTCAAACTCCCAGACTGAAGCAACCCTCAGGCACAGCTGGGACTACAAACATGCACCACTATGCCTGGCTACAGTGACAGCCTTTGGCTCAGCTCTAAACACTGAATGGCAGCCTCAGACATTCCGCCTATCCATACCCTAAGGAAAGGCAGGGGCCCCCTCCTCAGAGACTACTAGAACCCTGAAAGACCAGCAACACATCCTTTCTTCCCACACACTGACGGACAAGTTCCAAATGCCCTGGCTGAAAGCAGTTGTGGGGTCCTCATTTAAGCTATGGGAGACCTCAAAATTCCTCAGCATCACTCCACTAAGTTGCTGGGTCCAGGCCTGAGACCATCCTGACTCAAGTCACCCTGAGGGAGGAAGCCACCTGAGGTGGCTTTATCTTCTTTTTGGAGGAAACCACCCTGGGACTCTGCAGTCTTTTTGCCTCTCTGGGTCAATGAAAACACACCCTGACATTTGAATTCTCAGAAGAGGAAAGCTAAGACCACTGAGTGAGACCATACAATCTGTGTGTTTGGTGGTAGGATGGGTGTAAAGGCCCCACTGGCCAAGGGCAAAGGCCACAGAGCTATGGTCTGACTAGGAAGGGATGCAGACCATCAACTGCTACCACCAGAGGGCAGCACTGGCCCACTGTCTTCCTGCCATTGGGCAAGTAACCAAAGGTAACCTGTAATCAACAGAATTTGCAAATTGAGCCTAGTCAGGGAAGCCCCAGATAGGAGTGCGCTGAAGTTTCAATCCGGTTTTTTTTTTTTTTTTTTTTTTTAGTTGTATATGGACTCAATGCCTTTGTTTGTTTTTTTTTGGTGCTAGGGATTGAACCCAGGGCCTTGTGCATGTAAGCTATATCCCCAACCCCCTTTATTTGTTTTTATGTGGTGCTAGGATCAAACCCTGTGCCTCACACTTTCGAGGCAAGTGTTCCACCACTAAGCTACAACTCCAGCCCAAAGTTTCAATCTTGAGGTACAAGATACGATGGTTGAGCTGGAGGGGCAGCAAGCTACCAGAAGCAGCACCAGGTGGCCAGTGTGCCAAGACTCCAGGACCATGCCTGGAACACACTATCATTTGAAGGTACAACCCAAGGGTGATATGCAGTGTGGCCCAGAGGGACATACTCTCTCACTTCTAGGGGTCTCTCTGAAAATGTAATGCTGCAAGTACCCCATTTCCACCCATGGCCATGCCTGGTCAAGCAACAGCTTGGAGCAGCAGTGGCTTTGAGCCAGGAGGCTGACCAGAGCTGGTGGCAAGATGGGCATAGTGCACAAGGGGCCAGACCAAGAGGAAGAGGCCATTCCCTGGGCCACGGAGATCAGCTGTAATCCTTAGGACTGGGTGGAAGCCTACAGGTCTGCAGCCCGAGAGGGTTAAGATGCACGCATCCCTGCCCCTCCCCCACCTAAGGAGGGAGCCCCCAGGGGCCAGTCCGCTAGCATTCCTGGGCAAATGATGGTGCAGTGCACCTCAAGTTTCCATACCAGCCCACGGGCACAGGGTGGAGGAAACCAGGGGTCCCCTCATACCCCCAACATAGGCATGTGCCTCAGACTACCCTTTAGATACCCAGGCTGACCCATTGACAGGCAGCACTCAGTAATGGGTTAAAGAGGATCAATGGGGTGGAGCTCAGTGGTAGAGCTCCTACTTAGCATACAGAAAGCTCTGAGTTCAATTCCCAGCAGGAAAGAGAGAGAGAGAGAAAATATAAATCAATGAACCTTTCCACTCCACCCCCAAGCAAAGCAAAGAAAAAAAGTCAGGGTTCTTTCACAAGCTGGGCTTTCTCTACACCAGGCCCAGCCACAATATCTTAGTATGTGATAAAGTCTGTCAAGACCGGAGGACTGGAGCTGGACAGGTGCCAAGAGAGAGAGAGAAAGGTCCATCCAGGATGGTGTGTG